TGTGAGGTTGCCCAATTCATTTGGCAATGATGTCAAGCTTGAGCACCACTCAATATTTAAGGTAGTCAAAGATGTGAGGTTGCCCAATTCATTTGGCAATGATGTCAAGCTTGAGCACCCTTGTATATCAAAGGTAGTCAAAGATGTGAGGTTGCCCAATTCATTTGGCAATGATGTCAAGCTTGAGCATTCATTCATTCTTAAGGTAGTCAAAGATATGAGGTTGCCCGATTCATTTGGCAATGATGTCAAACTTGAGCACCATTGAATATTTAAGGTAGTCAAAGATGTGAGGTTGTCCAATTCATTTGGCAATGATATCAAGCTTGAGTACCATTGAATATTTAAGTAAGTCAAAGATGTGAGGTTGTCCAATTCATTTGGCAATGATGTCAAGCTTGAGCACCATCCTATATCAATGATAGTCAAAGATGTGAGGTTGCCCAATTCATTTGGCAATAATGTCAAGCTTGAGCAACACTCCCATATTTAAGGTAGTCAAAGATGTGAGGTTGCCCAATTCATTTGGTAATGATGTCAAGCTTGAGCAACATTCCATATTTAAGGTAGTCAAAGATGTAAGGTTGCCCAATTCATTTGGCAATGATGTCAAGCTTGAGCACCCTCTTATATCAAAGGTAGTCAAAGACGTAAGGTTGCCCAATTCATTTGGCAATGATGTCAAGCTTGAGCACCATTGTATCTCTAAGGTAGTCAAAGATGTGAGGTTGCCCAATTCATTTGGGAATGATGTCAAGCTTGAACACCTTCCAATATCAAAGGTTGTCAAAGATGTGAGGTTGCCCAATTCATTTGGCTATGATGTCAAGCTTGAGCACCTTCCAATATCAAAGGTTGTGAAAGATGTGAGGTTGCCTAATTCATTTGGCTATGATGTTAAGCTTGAGCACCCTCTTAAATCAAAGGTAGTAAAAGATGTCACGTTGCCCAATTCATTTGGCAATGTTATCAAGCTTTTGCATCCATTCATTCTGAAGGTAGTCAAAGATATGAGGTTGCCCAATTAAATTGGCAATGATGTCAAGCTTGAGCACCTTCCAATATCAAAGGTTGTCAAAGATGTGAGGTTGCCCAATTCATTTGGCAATGATGTCAAGCTTGAGCACCTTCCAATATCAAAGGTTGTCGAAGATGTGAGGTTGCCCAATTCATTTGGCTATGATGTCAAGCTTGAGCACCTTCCAATATCAAAGGTTGTGAAAGATGTGAGGTTGCCTAATTCATTGGCTATGATGTCAAGCTTGAGCACCCTCTTATATCAAAGGTAGTCAAAGATGTGAGGTTGCCCAATTCATTTGGCAATGATGTCAAGCTTGAGCACCTTCCAATATCAAAGGTTGTCAAAGATGTGAGGTTGTCCAATTCATTTGGCAATGATGTCAAGCTTGAGCATTCATTCATTCTTAAGGTAGTCAAAGATATGAGGTTGCCTGATTCATTTGGCAATGATGTCAAGCTTGAGCACCTTCCAATATCAAAGGTTGTCAAAGATGTGAGGTTGCCCAATTCATTTGGCTATGATGTCAAGCTTGAGCACCTTCCAATATCAAAGGTTGTGAAAGATGTGAGGTGGCCTAATTCATTTGGCTATGATGTCAAGCTTGAGCCCCCTCTTAAATCAAAGGTAGTAAAAGATGTGAGGTTGCCCAATTCATTTGGCAATGATGTCAAGCTTGAGCACCTTCCAATATCAAAGGTTGTCAAAGATGTGAGGTTGTCCAATTCATTTGGCAATGATGTCAAGCTTGAGCATTCATTCATTCTTAAGGTAGTCAAAGATATGAGGTTGCCTGATTCATTTGGCAATGATGTCAAACTTGAGCACCATTGAAAATTTAAGGTAGTCAAAGTTTTGAGGTTGCCCAATTTATTTGGCAATGATGTCAAGGTTGAGCACCTTCCAATATCAAAGGTTGTCAAAGATGTGAGGTTGCCCAATTTATTTGGCAATGATGTCAAGCTTGAGCACCATCCTATATCAATGATAGTCAAAGATGTGAGGTTGCCCAATTCATTTGGCAATAATGTCAAGCTTGAACAACACTCCATATTTAAGGTAGTCAAAGATGTGAGGTTGCCCAATTTATTTGGTAATGATGTCAAGCTTGAGCAATATTCCATATTTAAGGTAGTCAAAGATGTAAGGTTGCCCAATTCATTTGGCAATGATGTCAAGCTTGACCACCCACTTAAATCAAAGGTAGTCAAAGACGTAAGGTTACCCAATTCATTTGGCAATGATGTCAAGCTTGAGCACCATTGTATCTCTAAGGTAGTCAAAGATGTGAGGTTGCCCAATTCATTTGGGAATGATGTCAAGCTTGAACACCTTCCAATATCAAAGGTTGTCAAAGATGTGAGGTTGCCCAATTCATTTGGCTATGATGTCAAGCTTGAGCACCTTCCAATATCAAAGGTTGTGAAAGATGTGAGGTTGCCTAATTCATTTGGCTATGATGTTAAGCTTGAGCACCCTCTTAAATCAAAGGTAGTAAAAGATGTGAGGTTGCCCAATTCATTTGGCAATGATGTCAAGCTTGAGCACATTCCAATATCAAAGGTTGTCAAAGATGTGAGGTTGTCCAATTCATTTTGCAATGATGTCAAGCTTGAGCACCATCCTATATCAATGATAGTCAAAGATGTGAGGTTGCCCAATTCATTTGGCAATAATGTCAAGCTTGACCACCCACTTAAATCAAAGGATGTCAAAGATGTAAGGTTATCCGATTCATTTGGCAATGATGTCAAGCTTGAGCACCATTGTATATCAAAGGTTGTCAAAGATGTGAGGTTGCCGAATTCATTTGGCAATGATGTCAAGCTTGAGCACCTTCCAATATCAAAGGTTGTCAAAGATTTGAGGTTGCCCAATTCATTTGACAATGATGTCAAGCTTGAGCATCTTCCTATATTAAAGGTTGTCAAAATTGTCAGGTTGCCCAATTCACTTGGCAATGATATCAAGCTTGAGCACCACTCAATATTTAAGGTAGTCAAAGATGTGAGGTTGCCCAATTCATTTGGCAATGATGTAAGGCTTGAGCACCTTCCAATATCAAAGGTTGTCAAAGATGTGAGGTTGCCCAATTCATTTGGCAATGATGTCAAGCTTGAGCATTCATTCATTCTTAAGGTAGTCAAAGATATGAGGTTGCCCGATTCATTTGGCAATGATGTCAAACTTGAGCACCATTGAATATTTAAGGTAGTCAAAGATGTGAGGTTGTCCAATTCATTTGGCAATGATATCAAGCTTGAGTACCATTGAATATTTAAGTTAGTCAAAGATGTGAGGTTGTCCAATTCATTTGGCAATGATGTCAAGCTTGAGCACCATCCTATATCAATGATAGTCAAAGATGTGAGGTTGCCCAATTCATTTGGCAATAATGTCAAGCTTGAACAACACTCCATATTTAAGGTAGTCAAAGATGTGAGGTTGCCCAATTCATATGGTAATGATGTCAAGCTTGAGCAATATTCCATATTTAAGGTAGTCAAAGATGTAAGGTTGCCCAATTCATTTGGCAATGATGTCAAGCTTGACCACCCACTTAAATCAAAGGTAGTCAAAGACGTAAGGTTACCCAATTCATTTGGCAATGATGTCAAGCTTGAGCACCATTGTATCTCTAAGGTAGTCAAAGATGTGAGGTTGCCCAATTCATTTGGGAATGATGTCAAGCTTGAACACCTTCCAATATCAAAGGTTGTCAAAGATGTGAGGTTGCCCAATTCATTTGGCTATGATGTCAAGCTTGAGCACCTTCCAATATCAAAGGTTGTGAAAGATGTGAGGTTGCCTAATTCATTTGGCTATGATGTCAAGCTTGAGCACCCTCTTAAATCAAAGGTAGTAAAAGATGTCAGGTTGCCCAATTCATTTGGCAATGTTATCAAGCTTTTGCATCCATTCATTCTGAAGGTAGTCAAAGATATGAGGTTGCCCAATTAATTTGGCAATGATGTCAAGCTTGAGCACCTTCCAATATCAAAGGTTGTCAAAGATGTGAGGTTGCCCAATTCATTTGGCAATGATGTCAAGCTTGAGCACCTTCCAATATCAAAGGTTGTGAAAGATGTGAGGTTGCCTAATTCATTTGGCTATGATGTCAAGCTTGAGCACCCTCTTAAATCAAAGGTAGTAAAAGATGTGAGGTTGCCCAATTCATTTGGCAATGATGTCAAGCTTGAGCACCTTCCAATATCAAAGGTTGTCAAAGATGTGAGGTTGTCCAATTCATTTGGCAATGATGTCAAGCTTGAGCATTCATTCATTCTTAAGGTAGTCAAAGATATGAGGTTGCCCAATTCATTTGGCAATGATGTCAAGCTTGAGCACCTTCCAATATCAAAGGTAGTCAAAGATGTGAGGTTGTCCAATTCATTTGGCAATGATATCAAGCTTGAACACCATTGAATATTTAAGTTAGTCAAAGATGTGAGGTTGTCCAATTCATTTGGCAATGATGTCAAGCTTGAGCATCTTCCTATATTAATGGTTGTCAAAATTGTGAGGTTGCCTAATTCACTTGGCAATGATATCAAGCTTGAGCACCACTCAATATTTAAGGTAGTTAAAGATGTGAGGTTGCCCAACTCCTTTGGCAATGTTGTCAAGCTTAAGCACCATTCAATATTTAAAGTAGTCAAAGATTTCAGGTTGCCTAATTCATTTGGCAATGATTTCAAGCTTTTGCACCATTCCATATTTAAGGTGGTGAAAGATTTGAGGTTGCGAAATTTTTTTGTAAATGATGTCAAACTTAAGCATCCATTCATATTTAAGGTAATCAAAGATATGAGGTTTCCCAATTCATTTGGCAATGACATCAAGCATAAGCACCCACTAATATTTAAGGTAGTTAAAGATGTGAGTTTGTCCAATTTATTTGGCAAAGATATCAAGCTTTTGCCCCACTCCACATTTAAGGTAGTCAAAGATATGAGATTGTCCAATTCATTTGGCAATGATGTCAAGCTTAAGCATCCATTTAGATTTAAGGTAGTCAAAGATATGAGGTTTTCCAATTCATTTGGCAATGAAGTCAAGCTTGAGCACCCTCCTATATCAAAGGTAGTCAAAGATGTGAGGTTGCCCAATTCATTTGGCAATGATGTCAAGCTTGAGCACCTTCCAATATCAAAGGTTGTCAAAGATGTGAGGTTGCCCAATTCATTTGGCAATGATGTCAAGCTTGAGCACTCATTCATTCTTAAGGTAGTCAAAGATATGAGGTTGCCCGATTCATTTGGCAATGATGTCAAACTTGAGCACCATTGAAAATCTAAGGTAGTCAAAGATTTGAGGTTGCCCAATTTATTTGGCAATGATGTCAAGGTTGAGCACCTTCCAATATCAAAGGTTGTCAAAGATGTGAGGTTGCCCAATTCATTTGGCAATGATGTCAAGCTTGAGCACCATCCTATATCAATGATAGTCAAAGATGTGAGGTTGCCCAATTCATTTGGCAATAATGTCAAGCTTGAACAACACTCCATATTTAAGGTAGTCAAAGATGTGAGGTTACCAAATTTATTTGGCAATGATGTCAAACTTGAGCAATATCCCACTTATATAAAGGTAGTCAAAGATGTAAGGTTGCCTAATTCAATTGGCAATGATGTCAAACTTAAGCACCACTCCATATTTAACAGTAATCAAAGATGTGAGCTTGCCTACTTCATTTGGCAATGATGTCAAGTTTTCACACTTCTTCATATTTAAAGAAGTCAAAGATGTGAGGTTGCACAATTCCTTTGGCAATGTTGTCAAGCTTAAGCACCACTCAATATTTAAAGTAGTCATAGATTTCAACTTGCCCAATTCATTTGGCAATGATGTTAAGCTTTTGTACCATTCCATATTTAAGGTAATCAAAGATATGAGGTTACCTAATTCATTTGGCAATAACATCAAGCATGAGCAACCACTAATATTTAAGATAGTGAAAGATGTGAGTTTGCCTAATTCAATTGGCAATAATTTCAAGCTTTTGCAACGCTCCATATTTAAGGTATTCAAAGATATGAGATTACCCAATTTATTTGGTAATGATGTCAAGCTCAAGCATCCATTTATATTTAAGGTAGTCAAAGATGTGAGCTTGCCCAGTTCTTTTGGTAATGATGTCAAGCTTGAGCACTCCCTCATGTCTAAAGTAGTCAAAGATGTGAGATTGCCCAATTCATGTGGTAATGACATCAAACTTAAGCACTCCCTTATGTCTAAAGTAGTCAAAGATGTGAGATTACCTAATTCATTTGGCAATGATGTCAAGCTTGAGCACCTCTGTGTATCAAAAGTAGCAATAGATATGAGGTTGCCCAATGCATTTGGTAATGATATCAAGTATGGACAACTTAGTAGAAAACATCTTAAATTGACTGATTGTCTTGTCAACTCTAAAACACTTCTCAAATCATCTCCTGATGTAACAACACCATCATTACAAATTAACAATTGAAGTGAAGAAAAGCATGTACTTCTCATTTCACTTAACTTCTTGTCATTTATATTGTTGTAACACAATCCCTCCAACTACAACACAACATAGTTCAATCACATTACAAAATTAGATTCTTTGCATTAGAAGTCGACTTCATACATATACAAATTTCAATGTAATAGAAATTAATAAATCAACCAAAAAATTTGTATCAATATGCACTTTTCACATACATTAACACCTAAATGTTACAATTATATTACATCTCTAATATTCCAACCTTCATTCTTATCTATCATTAATACTTTCATACATGTCATTTGAATGATGGTCAAGTCCATTACCTTTTCACTAATTCCATCCAAAGCCTCTTCATTCATATTCCATACTCGTGTGTTCGTATATTCTATTTCTGTTTCAACAATCTTTCTACCCATGTCTCGTAGTTGATCATGCACTCTTATAACTCCATATTTGTGTATTTTTATCAATGATTGGTTAATCAATGTATTTAATGTATATTCCATATCTTCTTTTACTCTTTTTTCTTCTATGTTGGACCATATTCGCAATGCTCTTTCTTTCAACATGCCTTCCAAAAACACATCATTGTTAAAAAAACAACATATATCCAAAAACATTTTCTTCTCTTCAACTCTCAAGTTATCAAAACTTACTCTCAATATATTCCAAATCTTATAATCACTATTCTTTTCATCTCCATCCAACTCTCTTCCCCTCTTCAATCTTTGAAAAGCTCGCTCCCAACATCTCAATCTCTTTTTATCTCTTAAATATGCACCCATAACTTTCAAACTCAATGATAGGCCATTGCATGCTTTCACAATCTTTTTGCCAACTTCAACAAGTTCATTAGGCAATTTGCCTTCATGTCCACAAGAATGAGTGATAAACAACCTCAAACTTGTTTCTTCATCAAGTTCTTCAATATTTATTTTACATAGTTCAATACCACAATGCTCCATAACTTCCCCATTTCGAGTTGTCACAATTAATGTACTACCACTCATTGAAAATAAATCATCCATAGGCACAACAGCTTCAATTTGACTTTTGTTTGTCACATTGTCAAAGATTATGATGACTCTTTTTTTGATCAAAAATAATTTCAACATTTCTTGTGCGTCTTTCAAATCCTTTGGTTTTGCTTCAACTTTCAATTGCTCTAAGATGTGGCAAGATCTTTTGTAACAATCACTGCCACTTCCATCACATTCAACAAAGCATGAAGCATCATACATGTGCTTCACATTATTCAATGTTGTCTTTGCTATTGTGGTCTTGCCTATTCCACCCATTCCAACAAGACATAATAACTTCACTTTGCTTATACATAAGTTTGATATTTGCAATAAGCGTTGCTTTCTACCAAGCACTTCTTCTTCAACCATATCAACCTATAATAAGAAATTAAACCAAGCATCAACACAAAGAATGATATGAATACACATAAAGTAAACACTACATTTCAATCTAGATCTTCAAACTAGCACTCTGTTAATCACAACTAACCATTAACATATCATGTCATTTAGTGTATAACTAAAACTCTAAACAATCAAATCTCTTCTACACATTCTAACCTCATTTAATAAAATTGGTTTTGGAATAAGTACTTTTTTGGATAATTGTTGTAACTCTATATTTTTATGACCATTATCCTTTGATATACCATAATATTTTTTTTTTACCACAACTCCACTCATAATCTTTTTCTTCAACATTACCAGTCTTTCACAAATGTTTGCAAACTTGGGTCGACATAATGGATTTGAGTTCCAATAATCTTTGATAAGCTCTGTCAATTCATTACAATTAGGAGTTAATTCAGGTCTCTTACCTCTCTCTAATCTTTCCAATATCTCTGTTCTCTTACAATCATCAAATGGCTCTCTTTTAGAAAGAATCTTACAACATACCATTGCAAATGAAAATACATCTGCATCAAAAGGGCATATTGTCATCGTTTCATATTTTTTCTTCAATACCTCTGGAGCTATGTAGGGTGTACTATCATAAATATAATTATTCTCTATTACTTTTGGATTGCTACCAACTCCAATCTTAGATATTCCAAAATCAATTACTTTTACAATAGCATATCGAACAATTTTGTTCATCACTTTCTTTTCTACAATATTAACCAAAATATTGTCAGGCTTCAAATCACGATGTGCAATGTGCATATCATGCAAGTAACACATTCCTCTTGCAATTTGATACATGATATCAATTAAAAATATGTAAGATTCCTCTCTTTTTGTTTCTACCATATCCCTCAGACTTTTTTGCATCAATTCCATCCCCAAATATACATCATTTTTCTTCATATCAAATGAAGAACATCCTTCACATTCATCTCCAATATTTTTCATTGCAAAATAATATGATATCAAATTAGGATGGCATAGAGTTGCTAAGATGCTTGCTTCTTTTATGAAAACTTTCACATGCACACCAGTCATCTTCTTGATTGCATACGAAAGGCCAAACCACTTTGATTTATACACTTCTCCATAAAATCCTTTACCTAAAGATTTTATAAAATCAACACTTTTCATATTTGATGATAATTTCAAATCATCCAATTCTCCACCTTCTATGCAATGCAAGTTTTTCACCCTTAATAATAGATGCTTTGCCAATCCACAATTTTCAGATTTTCCTTCTTCATTTGAAAGATTCAATTTCTCCTATAAACACCTCTCATCGCCTTCTACTTCATCATAGGTTGCAACATGAATAGTATCAAAAACCTTCTCTTCAAATATTTCACCAAAGTCCTTCAAAAGCACATGAATTGCTACTTCATAACAACACTTCAAGTCCAAAAGTAGTTCTCTAAAAGTCTCTTTGTTCTTCAATTGAATCACTGCTACTTTGCACTATTTCTTTTTTCCACAATTCTTCACCAATATATAAGCTTTATCCAATATAATCAACAACTCCATCAATAAATCTCCATACTTCAATCCATCATTGCTAGAAGTCATCAAGTAGTCATACACCTTCATAACATGTTCAATGTTTGTGCATAAAGTTGAACATTGGTTTTTGTTCAACATGTCTTTTTTTTTCAACAAAACCTTCAATGCTACAATATAGGCTTGACATCCTCGCCAAACATCTCCACCAATACCTTCTATATTTGATATTGTGCCAATATCTTGCAAACAATCATTAGATTGTTTCATACTAGGTAGATATCTTTTTCTCCATACACATGGTGGTGGTGGTGTGTACCTCAACACCAAAAAATATTTCTTGACCAACTCCAAAACATATGCCATGCTCACTTCCTCACAAATGTTCCAATATTCAACCTGTTGACATACATTCACAATTGTACATTAGATTTACTTTCTTCCCTATTCTCCACTCTCCTATCTACATTGATACACCAAGCATATCATCTCATATCCTACACAATACATGTATCACTCTAACAATACATATTTAGCCTTAGAAAATTTAGAGCAATGCTTTTATCTGATGCATTCCTAAGTGCTCAAACAAGAGAACCTATGATTCACTACGATAATGTCCATCATGTCACTCAGTCACGTAATGCATTGGCGTAGCCACTCCATATCAGATGCATACCTTGCGTTCTATACAAGTAGCTTCGGCACATTTTACTATGATCTCATACGTCTGCACAAACATTTGAAACATGTTACTGCCCACAACATTCACCTAAAAAGAAAGTATATCTACGGACGGAGCAGTAGACGCTGGT